AAAGACCGGGTTTCTGCAAAAGAATTGGATAAGAGTCAGCGTATGGAAGCAAATGCAGCGAAAATAAATGCAAACTGGAGAAATTTTGTAGACCAGAATTTTGCAATAGCATTGGATAAGAGTCAACTTATGGAAGCAAATGCAACAAAAATATAAACATGGAAGGTGAAAATGCAGATTGGAGATTCAAAAATTCGAAATGTAGGACTTCAGGAATTTTAGGTATTAAAAATACCAATCAGCTTAGTTGTAGGAGTTGAGAGTTACGATGAGTCTGGAGTATTCAGGAATATTATTAAGAAATTTAGAAATTTAATTTTGATATTTAATTAGGATATTATTTTAGTTGAAAGAGTAGATTGGTTATTAGTATGATGATATGTATGGTGATTGGATGTTGATTAGTTAGTTAAAAAGGATACTAATTAGAAGTACGAATTAGGAGCATAGTACAGCCTGTATTACTAAGTGGCCCATCCCTTTCCCCCGCAAATCCCAATCTCCCACCTCCTCACATACTACATTTCCTCTTCCCTCCCTCCCTTATCCCCTCCTTCTTCCTACCCCGGCCCCCCCTACCCCATTCCCTTCTCCACTTCCACCCATTGTCGCCCCACTGCAATCCTCGTCCTTGCTGGATGATGTGGCGGAACAACCTCGAAGCGAAGCAAAGGAGAGAATAAAAAATGAGGAGAAGAGGGCAGAGGACGAATAAGCAGGAGGGGGGGAGAGAAGAATAAAGTGAAGAGGCAACCAAGTAAAAAGAAGAGTCAGAAGGGGAAGAAGGGGGAGGGAAGGGCACGAAGAGGAAGATGGAAAAAAAAGACGAACATCACCCACGACCACCAAATGCCATGATGATGATGATGATGATGATGATGGTGACAAGACCTGCCATTGCTGTCATCCTTGCGCAGTAGCCATGCTCGTCGGTGTCTTTGTTTTGTGCCCCTGGTTTGTCGACGCCAGAACGACGCTGGCTAGAGCTGGGGTAACCTGTGAATGGCAGGAGTGTGAGGCCTTGTAGAGAGATCAAGGGTTTTGCTGAGGAAGGAAGGCAATCTAGTGGCGAACTGGGGGGGGCTGCCTTGATGAACTATGGGTCCGGAAATAGTCTAGGTGGTGAGAACATGTCAGCTATGGTAGATGTTGGTTAGGATGGCATTGTCTCTGAGATGTAATGTCCTGGTACAGGGAGGGCTAGGAGTTGTTCTAGGATTAGGAAGCTAGAATTGTTGATACAGCATAATCTTCTATATTTTTTACATACTAGGCATTATCATCATTAGTATGAGTATTTGACTGACATTTTACATTGAATCAACAGAAATTCATCAACATCATCATCATCATTATCATGATCATCATATCAGGGATGCTGGGCTAGTTTCTCAGCAAGTTTAGTTCGGTCACTCGGGGTAGACTATGAGGACCCCGGCCTCAATCTTCATATTGGAAATATCATCCTTGGTCACTGGGCCCATTGTTAAAAAAAAAAAAAAAAAAAAACATCAACACCCCTATAAAATACACCCCCCCAACCAACCACGGGTAAATCACAAAAACAAATTCTTGGTGTATGTTGGGAGTACACCCCCTGATAGGTAACCCCACACCGTCAGAACTCGAAAATGGGGTTGCGTGATTTTTTAACCCCCCCCCTTAAAACTCCCAATTTCGAGCCGCTCACGTTTTTTTTTTTTTAAATACTTTTCACTTTGAGGGGCCAGGGCTCGGTCCTGGAATCCCAACCCCGATTTGCGGAACCCCCCTCCCTCGGTCGCGGCAGGCGGCCAAAAGCCTGGACCGTTGCGGTGAATACCGTGTGCTCGCGGTCTTGACCGCTGACCACCCCGTCTGGCGGTTGAGGGGATTCATAGTGTGAAGCCATGACTCGACCTATGCTCTGGCCCAGGTAATAACCCCCTCGACACATGCGACAAGAATAATTAGAATACAAATGCGATCTAAGAGAGGGCATAGTGAAACGACTTGCTTCATCCTGATAATCCTCCTGGTTGGCCATGATAGCAACCTCCGGCTACAGCCGATTAATATCCCTTTACGTTCTTAGTGTTAAAACCAGGCGACTTTCTTGGCTGCTTCCTCAGTGTTTTTAGACTTCTTTTACGATTCACCTCTTTTTCTGCCCTTGTCATTTTTTTAAAAGATCGGTATATTCTTGCAGGTAACGCCTAGCCAGCTCCCAGACACCCATTTCCTTTTGAAAGTATTGTCAATGAATGTTTTTCTCCTTACATAACTCCTGCACTCTGGTGTAGTGCAGCGAGCTATAGTAGTCCATCCGAACATGAATATAAGTGGCAAGGTCCCATATCTTCTTCGTCGTCTACAACATTAGTCGTGTTTTCTGTGACATGAATATCTTACGCAATTTCTACATCCTCGTTAGCGCCAACAAGTTTTCTGGGGCTTGGCTCAATAACTTTCTGCTTGCCCTTAGCATCCCTGATTGATGTCCGACAATTCACTGTAACAGTTATTCTCCATCTTCATATGGAGGTTCTGCTTGACACCGGGCCACCAACACTTTCATCATTTGAGGAGATGTGTTTTGGGCGCAATTTTGTACTGTCTCGGGAGCGGGGTTTGGCCCTTACAGGCGAGGGCGAGTTCTCTAGAAGTGGGGTATGAGCCACAACAGCGCCGACTTTGCGGCCACAACTGCCAGCTCGTTGATGGCCACCACCTCTCGCGCGCTTGCCCTTCCTGCCCTCGTTCCCAATGGACGAATATCGACATCCTCTTCGTCATCCCCGCCCACAATGTCCTCTGTGTCTCCGTTGTCGTTGTCATCGCAGTACACCACATCGTCACCGCCACCATCACTGCCGGCCCACGTGTTAGACACTCTACGTGTGATGTTCTCCACGCTTGCTCGCTGCCACTATCCCTCGCGTCTGCCTGTGCTGTCCTTGTGCTCGCAGATGGCAATGAAAGACAAGCTCCACCTACACTGACGGGGACCATTGCAACTCCGGAAGTGGGAGGGCAGGTGTCTCTGCATCCTTGCACGTTCATCGCATTCCAGCCATGTCGTCGGGCACTGGATGATGCCCCGCCAATAACACTGAGGAATGAAGCGCTTGCAAGTAGCAACTCCTGGGTATGCGCACTGCAACGACGATGAAGGTCACTCGACGAAGCTTCGGGGTCAATGATGGAGGTGTGGGTCATTGGCGTGGCACCGCCAAACGACATGCCGGACCTTAGATCGACCTCCCCATCATCGTTATCCCCCAAACCTTGACGCAGGAGGGATGTGAACTCACCACCTCGATTTGTCCCGCATCTGCCAATCACCAACGTCTGCGACCACATTTGCGTCGACCCACTACCCACAGGTAGCATTGCCAACTCCTCTGCTTCCTGTTCATCCTCCGTCGGGGGCAGAGGCTGCTCGTGAGGAGGCAGATGGCTGTACAAGGAGGGGTCGTACTGTCGGTGAGGGACCACCCCAGCCGAGCCTCCTGCACTGGGAGTCGCGGTCGCTACTTGTCTAGCGACGTTGAAGTTCGCCATTGGTCGTCCAGTGGAGGTCCCTTTCCTGGATGTGCGTCGCTTGCGGTGTTGCTTCGTCGGCCGGAACGCCAAGCACAAGTGGAGGAAGACGACAAACAAGAAGACAACATCAACGAGTATAAGGAAAGGTAACCTCCAATACACGTCAGACTCTGTCAAAAATGTGCGCTTTGGAGGGAGCATTTCGAGCACGCTAACAACATGGACTCCAGCATGCCGACAAATGTAACAGCAGGTTGTTGATATGGCACCATATGCAGAAGAGGTCAGAGGGGAAAGCCACTACTTTGAATTCTGACCATCGGACGACCTCCACTGCCCACAAATCGTCAGTGCCAGGATGGCGCAATGCCTCTTCCTCCCCCGCGTTTCGCTTCAAAGCTAATGGTCGACTACGGAGGACAGGGCACCTGCCGCTTGCTGTCCCGGGTCGGCTTCGGCCCCTGCCGCCCCCACCCAATGGTGGCTGTTGCCTTCATCCCGCCACTTGAGGCCTCCAATATCCGACCCCTCTCCAGACGACCAACTTCTGCACCGCGGAATTGGAGACAACGCTGCCCTGCGGACGTCGGCGAGCCTCTGTGAAACGCCGCTTCCTGAAAATGAAAACTCCTCAGGAGGAGCTTTATTTTTCGGGAACTTTTGCCTGGGGATTGCTATATTTTATAGGAGTCGTCCTATTTCATGAATTCGGTTTTAGGAATGCGTACTGCATTCCTAAAAATCGGCATTTTTAGGAGTGCCTAACAAGACCCTAACAAACAAAATTGTCTTACATGAACGACACTCACCCCCCAGCCCGAAAATCGGTCCTTTCTACACTGCTGTGTGGCGAAGCAGGGGGTAACTGTCGAAACGTGGACTGTCGAAAGAAGTCTGACAGCCATAAAAAAAAGCCCCCTTTCGAAGGGCCTCGCCACACCACTGTCGAAAAGTTCAACCTGTTTCGCGACAGTGCCCCTTCGCCACACATGCAGTCGAAAAGGCACCTGTTGGAAATGGTTCTATAGTATCTATACCTGTACGTTTTTTTTTTATTATATAACTTATTTATTGTAGACCTGTCAGAAAATGTCTTTCTACGGCTCCTGTTTTCGAGTCCAAAAAGCCCACCTGCAACCACGAAACAGAGAAAGGTCTGTCACAGCCACAAATCCTGTCACAGCCAAAAAATACACTCCATACAAGCCGCTGGCACTAGGGGCACAGCTAGCATAGCCGCGTAGTGACGGTCCCGACCACTGCCGCTCGACCTGACCGAAGAAAACCGTAGCAGGGGTGTATATGTATTTATATACATCGTAAACAGATATATATATATATATATATCCTGTTTATATCTGGAGAGAGCGGCGTGGAAAGGGAGGTGGTTTGTTCGGCAGGGGGAGAGCGGTCGCTTGTTCGGTGGGAAGAGAGCCGGCCGGCGGACTGTTCTTGTCGCGCTTGAGTGAGCGCGAGAACGATAGAGAGACGAGAGAGCCTGGGCCCTGCGCAAGGATGATGAGGCCTTGCACAGTATCTAAGCCATGCTTCTTACCACGTGGCAGCATCCCCTCTTCGTCCACGTGGCAGCACCAGCTTGACACTCTTCGTCCACGTGGCAGGCCCAGCTTGGCAAGCTTCGTCCACGTGGCAGCCCCTGCTTGACACTCTTCGTCCACGTGGCAGCACCAGCTTGACACTCTTCGTCCTCGTGGCAGCACAAGCTTGTCACTCGTCCCACGTGGCAGCACCACCTTGATACTCTTCGTCCACGTGGCAGCACCAGCTTGACACTCTTCGTCCACGTGTCAGCACGAGCTTGACACTCTTCGTCCACGTGGCAGCACGAGCTTGACACTCTTCGTCCACGTGGCAGCCCCATCTTCTTATTGCCAGCGTGACAAGTGGCACTGCCTTCGTCCACGTGACACACTCTTCATCTTCTCTAAGGTCTGACGTGTCAATCTGTATCATCTGACGTGTCCACGTGGCACCCTCTTTAACTACTCCTCTGTTTCATCGGCGTCCTGTGCATCTCTCTTTTTTTTTTGCCCATCGAAAACGAGCTGTCTTCTCCTCATCGGGGGACAGCAGTATTTATTTGTCTCTCACCTCACATAATTTTAACTGGCTTTCTGCCATGTCATGGAACATATCGTTTTTCCCTTTCACTATCTACCACTACTCCTAAGGCAATACAGGGGACCTGTGCATCTTTTGTCTTGATCTCCTGTTTTTTTTTTGTTTTTTTTTTTTTCGCTGTTTTTCAATTAACACCCTGGTCATCTGAAGAGTGTCTTTATCTCTCATCGTTGAAATTCTCAAGCAATCAAAAAAAAAAAAAAAAAAAAAAATCTCAAGCAACGGTTGGGGACAGCGACACAGAGAGCGGGATCGGGATAGAGGGATGGGAAGTCGATGAGGTTCAGTGTCATCCTGACAGGCAGCCGGGACCTCGGCTCAGGCCGTCTCTGTCCTCACACACCGGTATTCCGACTGGGACAGGGATCGCGATTGGGATCCGGATTGGGATAGGGATCGCGACTGGGAGTCTGGTTGTCCTGAGGTGGCGTGACTTTGCAGACCGCTGAGCAAATGGGCACTCGCTTCGCTATTTCAACTTTTGCCGGGAATTGAAGTTTTGGCGGGAATTCAACTTTTGGCGGGAATTGAAGTTTTGGCGGGAATTCAACGTTTGGCGGGAATTCAACTTCTGGCGGGAGTACAACTGTGGCGGGAAATCGATCGAGGATTAGTATAAGTTAACGATAATTATCGTTTGATTGTGTGCTAGGTGAGTGCTCCCATTTTTCGCTGTCCCCTTTTTTTTCTCTTCGTCTCTTTAATCCACGGTTTGATGCCGGATGGGCTGTTTTTTTTTTTTCTGTTCTTTTTTTTTTCCCTTTTCTTCCTCTCTTTTTTGTGGACTTCCATTCAGCGCCCTTCTCGTGCACGTCCCTGGGGCGAGGTCCGACTACCGCCTTCCCCCGAACACAACGCACCCTGAGAAAAGAAAAAAAAAAAAAGAAAAGAAATGCACCCTGAATTTCGCTGCACCGGGGTGAGGTCCCACTAGCAAAGAGGGTTGAGTAAATATCCTGAATCTGGACGTGTTTTAAGCAGAGATGCAGAAAAGCAGTTGAATCTCGACATTCTGCACCATTCCGCAAACAAGTCCAGATTCAGGTGTCAATCCAATCCTCTTTGCTAGTGGGACCTCACCCCCGGGAAGATAGAGCTTTGATGGTAAATATATTTGGACTTTTGCAAAAAAAAAAAAAAAAAAAAAGGGAGGAAAAAAAAAAAAATAGAGCTTGCTTACGTTCGTTGTCTGGTTGCGTTGTGTGCGGGCGAGAACGGTAGCAAAGGGAATTGGATTAACTGCCTGAATCTGGATGGGATTTAAGCAGAGATGCAGAAGACCAGATTAGTAAACTATTTGCTGCACCTGTCCTCTGCTGCCCGCAAGTGCCACGTGTCGGACCAACTTAGTATCTCTGATCGGGTCGATAAGTGAGTAATTAGTGCTTGGGAATCCGACACGTGGCGCTTCCCGATCGGATACCTGGCGCTTGCTGAGACGATACGTGGCGCTTGACACACGACGCAGCACCTGGTGATCGGACACGTGGCGCTTGCTGATTTGATACTGATTAGTCACGTGGCGCTTTTGCTGACCCGATACTTGGCGCTTGCTGATCGGATGCGTTGCTGATGATCGGACGCGTGGCGTTTGTGTAATTAGCGCCACGTGTCGGACCAACTTAGTGTCTCTGATCGGCTAGATAAGCGAGTAATTAGCGCTTGTTAATCCGACACGTGGTGCTTCCCGATCGGACATCTGGCGCTTGCTGATACGACACGTGGCGCTTGACACAGCACGCCTGGTGATCGGACACGTGGCGCTTGCTGATTCGATACTGATTTGCCACGTGGAGCTTTTGCTGACCCGACGCTTGGCGCTTACTGATCGGATGCACGGCGATTGCTGATGCTCGGACACGTGCCGCTTTTGCTGGTTCGATACTTGGCGCTTGCTGATCCGATACGTGGCGCTTTTGATCGGACGCACGGCGGTTGCTGACGATCGGCCAGGTGGCACTTGCTGATTGAGAAGGAAGAATCGATCTTCGGATATTGACGAGGATTTGCCGTTATTATTATTATTATTTTTTTTTTTCAGTTTTTGACAACTGCGGGGATTTGTCGCTATCTGCGTGGCTTGCGCGGTTTCTTAACCATTATTAGCGTATATTTCTGGAGGGCTTTTTGTTGGCCTTTCTTTTTGTTTGGAGTTGAAGGGGTTATTTTGGTCTTGGCTTTTTTGAACGGTGTATGATGTTGCTATTAAGAAGTTGATTGGATTGGCTACCTACCATGTGTATCGTTTTTATTTTGTATTTATCGTTTTAATGATGTTTCTAAGAAACATCATTAAAACGTTTTTCCACTCGAACGGACGGATCGTTCAACATCCTGCGCACACGCTCTTCCTCGTCTCTCTCTCTCTCTCTTTTTTTTTTTTTTTTAATTCTTGTGATCCTTTTATGTGTTTGTTTGTTTTTTAGTTTGTCAGTTTGTTAGTTCTTTGACGATGTATGTGCGTGTGTGCGTGTATGTATGTGCGTGTGTGCGTGTATGTGTGTGTGTGTGTGTGTGTGTGTGTGTGTGTGTGTGTGTTTTGTGTGTGTGTGTGTGTGTGTGTGTGTGTGTGTGTGTGTGTGTGTGTACGTCGGCGCAGATCTTGTATCCCTGAGAGGGTACTGTCACTAGGACTTTGGTAGATGTATCGGCATACAATTGCGTTCAGTGCGGGCTGTATCTGACCGCAAATACGTCCAAAGATCATTCAGAAAGTCTTAAGTGTGATGACACCCTGACGCGTTCTAGTTCCTTTGTGTTTTCACACCTAAAAAAAGCCTCTTTCTCGCTTCTTAATACTCTTTTCTCCCTCTTTCTTCTTCTTCCTCCTCCCCCACGCCCACTCTCCCCCGCCCCCGCCCCTGCCCCCCTCCCCCCCCCCCCCGCGGTAGTATGCTACCGTCTTTCACCGAACACACCCCAACCTGATGAGGCATGCATCCAAGCTATATGGCCGGTCAGATACAGTCACTATGAGGGTTCGTGTCGCCTGCACTTTTCCTCTGTTTCATTATCTGCCTCTTCCAC